GGGGCGGGCGGAGCCGAGGCCAGAGAAATGGGAATCCTCCTGCGGCGCACCGGGAGAGGCTGCCTTCACCGGGGGAGCGGCGGTGTCTTCGAGGAAACCGGAAGCCCATGGTGACCCCTGGCGACCCGGTTTGTTTTCGGTTGGTTTCCAAACACTGGGGAATCGAAACTCGGCGGCCCTTGGGGGTGGCCCTTCGTATCTTGGCTTTAGGGTGAGTGACTGGCTTGGGCCTGGCCTGGAATAGGGGTGCGGGCAGTGTCGGGACCCACTTCCGCTGCTGCTGGTGCCAGGAGACGCGTCTTTTTTCTCTCCCCCTCCCGCGCTCCCAGTGACTAGGGAGCGATCCACCCCAGGGCATCCCTTGCTCGCGTCACCTGCACACCCCCAGCTGTTCGGGCTCTTGGCCCTTCATTGTACTCTGCCCCAGTTGCTGATTTTCTTTTGGTACTCGGATTTATACTGTAATACAGATCACAGCATAAATTGCTCCAGGGTGTGTTGCAAAGACGATAAGGTGACCGGAGACTTTGACGTGCCAGTATTACAGTTGACCCTTACTCCTTAAACTCAGAAGACACTTCCGTTTTCATTACTGGAATTTTGAATGGGGTTGGGTAAGATCTCAAGACATAATTTAAACACCAGTTCCCTGAAAACGCGGTATCTGATTACTGGTTATGTTACGGTCACTCAGTTATCTAAAAATGGGAATGGTACATTCTTCACAAGATGATTATCAAATTTTCATACAGTATTACTTATACATGGGACGTCCTATGCAAATATAAGATTTTAATACTGAGGCAACAGTATGGTGTGATGGGAAATGGCCCAGGATTCTATCAGAACACCAAGATCTGAGTGCTGAATTTGCCATTTATGCGCTTGATGTTGGATAAGAGGCTAAATAAACCCTGCCCAGTTTCTCTCTCTCTGAAAAGGGGGTAATGCTTACTCTCTGAGACACCCAAGCAGTTTCTCGGAGTTATTCTGGTCATGAAGTCAGCTGTCTTAATTTTCCTTCCCAGTTCCCCCATTTTCTACCATTTGCATGTCTCAGTTTCTCCACCAGTCTGTATGCCCACTCAGGTCTTAAGGTAGATCTAATGAATCTTACAAAGAACAGATGAGATAGTTTTCTAAAAAGGTGAAGGACATTGCAACATATCATTATGTTAAAAAAAAAATAATTGATAGGGACCAGCAGTTAGCATAATGGCTATGTCGCTGGACTCTCACATAGTCGACCGTGGTTCGCGTCCCGGACCCGGTGACTTAAAACACGCCTGGCGCGTGTGCATGCATGCCTAAGATCCCGAGAGGAGAATGGAGGAGAAGGGATTGCAGCATCCCCAACCCCTGGAGTGTGATTTCTCTCTTTCTGTCTCTCTGTCTCTGTCTGTCCGGCGAGCACACACGCCCTGTAGCAAAAACCTCTCAAAAAAAATTGATAACACCAGTTACCTTAATATAGGTATGTCGTTAAATTGAGGTATATCCCTTTATGAAGGGAAAGAGAAGTAGGCTGCTCTTAATACTTATGCTAGGCTTGAAAGAGTCTTATGATTGATCCCCTGGCCTTATAGACTGACTTACGGATTAATGTTTAAAACATAAAAGTCAATTTTATGTATTTTATGTGTGTATATATCTGTATCTGTCTATATGTATCTATATATATATATCTGGTGCCAAGTGCATTTTTGGAGTCACTGAATTAAAAAGCATTGGATTGTTAAGGTTCCTCGATGAAGCGATAGTATCTTGAAAAGAGGCATTTAACTTGATCCCTACTTTATAAATTATTTAGGCCATTCCTGCCCCTCATTACTTCATCGAAGAGTAAGTGTTGATCAGTTTGCTCCCATAATACTCATTGCTCGCTTCACAATATCTTGACTGACTGTATGAAGTGGGTTCAAGAGTATCCTAGCTTCTCAAAGGAAGAAAGGTGATGGAAATTTTTTTTCTTGTCATTTTTACACTTTGTTTTTAAGAATTATGTATTTTTATTTAATTTCAATTCTCAGAGAGAGAGAGAGGGAGAGTGAGGAAGCAAGCCGCCAGGTCTGGAACTCAAATGGTGGTCAGCCATATGGGTGTCCAGCACCTAAGCCCCCATACCACCTGCTGGCCCTGTGATGGGAATTTTAAACAGATTTCCTTCGGGGAGCAATGTAAAGATAAATAGGCCTTGATTCAGATCCCAGCTATGTCACATACGTTTACCTCTACCTTCTTGCCAGACTTGATGTAGGTAATGTGTGTAGTATACCTTTTACTCAGTTCCTGGCACAAATGTAAATTCTCTTCTGTCTAGGTTGATGTACTATCCAACCCTGTTTTATAGCTGGGAAAATTGAGATGCAGATCAGTAAAGTGGGCTAACCTAAAATCAGGGTGGCAAATCCTAGACTAAAATCTGGAGTTCTGAATCCTGGGCCCTTGTTCGTCTATGTAGAGTTCTACCTCTCTGGATTCTTAGGAAAATCAGAATCCGTTTTGTGTTGTCTCTCAGAATGTTGTATTAAGAGCACTAATTTAAAAGACAGCTTATCCAAATTCACATCCCAGCTTGGCCACTGATTAGCTGTATAGCTGTAGGTAAGGTGTTTAACTTTTCTAAAACTTTTTTATAAATTAGGATTATACTACCCTACTAAGAAGTAGGAAAATGCATGTAAAAACATTAGGCAAGTGATCGAAAAAAGGGTAGGTAAAATTATGGTGAAATAAGACAGGATAATCTTTTATTCCTAGAAAAAAAGACGAACCTGGTATTTCTAGTTTTTGAGGTTTTTGTTTTTGTTTTTTTGGTCTGCTTGTTTTTTTGAGAGATTTTTGCTATAGGTTGCGTAAGCTCACTGGAGAGACAGACACAGATAAAAAGTGAGAAATCACCCCATAGGGGATGGCCACGCCACAGTCCTTTCTCCACCAATCTCCTCGTAGGACCTTGGGCATGCACGCACATGCACCCAGTGTGCCTTTTAAGTCACCCAGTCCAGGACTTGAACTGTGGTTGACTCTCTAGCAGTTCAGCAATGCAACCATTATGCCATCTGCTGGTTCCAGCCTGGTATAGCTGAAGATTAATTTATGCACTGATCAATGATCTTTCAGTCAGCCACAAGCTGCTATTTGACAGTGGAGTAATAGACTGTGCTATAGCTTAGTTATGTAGTAGGCTACACATGAGTCTTGCTCAGGGACACTGTGATGTCTGCACAACAGCAGAATCACAGTGACACATTCTCAAAACATACTCCTGTCATTTAGCAACATAAGACTGCATTTCTATGTTTTCTAGTATCCAGAATCTCAGTATGGACAGTTCCCAACTTACAATGTCTTGACTTACGGTCTTTTGATTTTGTGATGCCACAAATACAATTTAGAACCATTCTTTAAATTTCAAATTTGGATCTTTTCCCCAGGCTAATAGGAATATGCAGTACAGTATTTCTACAGTGCAAGAGGAGTGGTGGTGAGCCATTCAGTTTTTTTTTTCAATTTTTGTGCAGTATTCAATAAATTACATGAAATATTCAACACTTTATTATAAAATAAGCTTTATGTTAGATGATTTTGCCCAGCTGTAGGCCAGTGTAAGTGTTCTGAGCACATTTATAATCTAGGCAATCATTATAAATTAGGTATATTAAATTGGTAAGTTAGGTGTATTAAATGCATTTTTTAAAGGTTTTTGTTATAGAGCATGTGTGCTTACTAGAGAGAGACAGAGGTAAAGTGAGCGATCAACCCCCAGGGGAGATGGGCACAGCACAGTCCTTTCTGCAGTCTTCTGGGATTTTGGACATGCATGCATACTCACCCAATGTCATTTTCAGGCTGCCAGATCCAGGACTTGAGCTGCACAGCCAACCATGTGTGATCCAGCACCTTAACCTTCACATCACCTCTTAGCCCTTAAGTGCATTTTGACTCACAGTTTTGTTTTTTTTTTTTTTTAACAGATTAATGTAAAAAGACTTCATTATTTTAAGAAAACTTGAATCATGATAAATAAGGTTAAATATAGTGTAGATAAGTTTCCCTGAATGTTAAATACTAAAACTAGCTTTGTCTAGTTTATTAATTGTAATAACAGCCAGTTAGGTCCAGCCCCATAGCCCAGTAGTTAAAGGATCCAGATCCTACATGGTGGGCCACATTTTGAATCTCAGCCCTCGTGGGGCACGTGTGAATGTGTGCCTCAAATCTTGACAGGATAGAGAAATGGAGAAGGGACTACAGTGTGGCTGTCCCAGCTGGGGCATACTTTGTCCCTTTTTCTGGTGAGTGCACACACTCTCTGGCAATTCCAGTTAAAAAGCCAGTTATGTCCTTACCGTCTATCCAGAAAGTCAAATTTCTTGGGCCAGCTAACTGGAATTCCCATGAAGAGACATTTAATTATAACAGGAACCTATAAAATTAAATCTGTATGGAGGGGCAGACTACTGCCTTTGTCGAAGGAAGGGTAAAGGATGCTTGTGTAAGCAATGAAACAAAAGTTTGGTAGCAGGTTTGCCTTTCAGCATAATAATAAGAGTAATAGGATGTACCTGTCTTGTATTATTTGATTTGTTTCCAAGATCTAATTTTTCCTGACACTGCAGCTTTTAGTCTACACAGTGTGATTTGTTTGGATTAATACATATTAATATTCAGATACTTGTGCTTTCATATTTCTGCAGGGATAGAAATGAAAATTGATTTTCACTTTAACCAAATTTAAATGGCAGTTGTTTTTAAAACCTAATAAAACTTTATACATATCTGTGATGCTAGTAGATTTTCTCATAGGTATGTAGCTATTTCTTCAATAATTTTTAGAACAGATAGTTTTATACTTCTTTCAGTATATTTTAAGTCATTTTTAGTATGTAGAATAAATTATGTAGTAATAGTATACAATTTGAAAATTTTTATTGCAAATAATACTTTTTTAAAGAATTATTTTTAACTTATTGTTTTCCATTTTGATCAGAAAGAGATTGAGAGACAGAGGGAAATTGAGAAAGGAAGCCACAAGGTCTAGGACTTGAACCGTGGTTGGCCATGTGGGAGTCCAGTGCCTTTAACCACCATGCTACCTGCTGGCCTGTTTAGAGAGAGACCACATATATACAACTTCTTGATGATTTATAGGTTTTTAAAAGGCAACAGATATACATATGTGAGATAAACTAGTCTGATTACTCATTTCATTGTAAAAATGACCAGTTCTAATATCGTATAAAATGTGACATGTATATAAATATATCTTCTTCCATCTAAAGTACTTATAAATTTTTCTGAGGAGTTCCCAGTTTAGTAGTTCTTGATGAATGTAAGGTTTTGTAAATGATTGGGAAAGGAAAAATATTGTTTCAGACTTTAAAGTTCTTTTGCTACATACGTGATTCTGGGTAAGTTTCATGACCATTCCAGGTACCAGTTTTCTCATCTGGGGAAATGGATGTAATAAAATTTTCTGTCTTATAGGGTAGTCAGGAGAATTAAATGGGATATTTGTAAAAATTTAGCACAATGCTAAGGGCTTAGCACAGGTCATTGGGCTGTGAATATTTTTCATATATGTGAGTATTCTTTACACTCTTTAATCATGTCCAGATCTTTTAAAAAATTATTGGGGGGGAACCAGCAGTTAGCGTAATGGCTATGTCGCTGGACGCCCACGTAGTCGACCGTGGGTCGCATCCCGGACCCGGTGGCTTAAAACTCACACCGGTTGTGTGTGCATGCGTGCCCAAGATCCTGAGAGGAGAATGGAGGAGAAGGGATTGTGGCGTGACTATCCCCCCTGGGGGGTGATTTCTCATTTTCTGTCTCTGTGTCTCTCTCTGTCTGTCTGGCGAGCACTCGTGCCCTATAGCAAAAATCTCTCCAAAAAAAAAAATATATATTGGGGGGCCAGCAGGTGGTTTGGTGATTAAGGGCTCTGGATTCCCACATGGCTGACTTTGATTCGAGTCCCAGGCCTGGCAGCTTGCTTTCTCACTTTCCATCTCTCTCTTTCTTGCTCATTCTGTCTCTCTCTGATCAAATTAAAATAAATAAAGTTAAATAAAAAATTCTTTAAAAAAAAATTTGTTGGAATAAGAACCACAATCAATAGTCTTTCTATAATGAGGGACCATCTGAGTTTGTCTCCATCCTGTTTTTTGTTTTTTTTTTTCTTTTTTTAAAATTTGCCAGGAGTGCATTTATGGGAGAAGAGGATGATGGAGAGGGTCGTGATAAAGCACCTTCCCCCACATGGGGAATGATCACACCACAGTCTCTTTTCCTCCACTTCTCCCTCTCTTCTGGACTTTGGGCATTCACATACACATACTAGGTGTGTTTTACAAGCTGCTGGATCCCATACTCAACTGCTTAGCCGGCCGGTGGGATCCGGTCTCCTTAACCACCATACCACCAGCTGTCCCCATCCCGTCTGTCTGATTTCATCTCTGGCCACTCTTCTCAGCCATTTGTCTTTCTCCTTTCCTTTAAAATTGCCTTTGTTGCTGGAAGTTAGCAAATTGTAAAGGTTTATATACAATAAGTACAGTGAAAATAAGCACCCTCTTCACTTAAGCTTGTAGGTTTAACAATCATATAACCTTTGCTGCACCTTCATTGAAAACCACTGCTCTTCTCCATCTCTTGACCCAGCCCCATAGCATCCTGTATTATGGACAATGTATTACCTACCCTTATGGTATAAGAATTATTTTCCTGCACAGTTCTTTTCCCACCCTCAGTTTTTCTTACTGAATAAATAATTGTTTTATGATAAAAATGAATGTGTAGCTATATAGCCAAGCATGTTAAAACTTTGTGTAGAGCAAAGGTGAATAACCTCTGCTCATTAAAATGCACAGTGGGACATCTGTTTTGATTTTATGAGCAATTTGTACTTATTTTTCGTTTTCTGTTGTGTAGAAAAATGATTAAATTTGAATGTATACTATTTGGTTGAGAGTTAAGTTATTTAAATGAAATGCCCATTATAGAGACAGTTTCACGTCTCCTAATAAATGGTATTTCCCATATTTTTATAAAGAATTTACTAATACTAGTTTATGATTTTAAATGCCTTATATTCTTAAGACTCCACAAGGTACTTGCTGTTACTTCCTATTCTTGCTAAATAAAATAACCAAGGTTGGCAGGTGAAGCAGTTTACCCAAAATGACATAGACACAAATGGCTGAGATTGGGTTAGAACCCAGGCAGTCTGGTTCCAGTCTGTGCTACCACTACTTCAAGAGTTAAGAGTTTTTAAATATTGCCCCAGTATTCACATCATTCTAAATATATTTTTTGCTCATTTATTTAATGAAATCTTTGTATTTAATACTTTTCTCCCTTTTAAACAGTTGTCATGGATGCACTGGTAGAAGATGACATCTGCATTCTGAATCATGAAAAAGCCCACAGGAGAGATACACTGACTCCCGTCTCAATATATTCCGGAGATGAATCTGTTGCTTCACATTTTGCCCTTGTCACCGCATATGAAGACATCAAAAAACGCCTTAAGGATTCGGAGAAAGAGAACTCTTTGTTAAAGAAGAGAATACGATTTTTGGAAGAAAAGGTCATTGTTATCTCCTACCTTCATGATACTGGGTTGTCAGAAAAGTCATGACGCGTTTTGCCTAGAGAAACAGAAAAATAAATCATGACTTTTCTGACAACCTGATATTTTATGACAGATAATACTTCAACACGGGGCCAGTCGTGGTGGCGCAGTGATAATGTAATGTTGTGCGGTCACCAGCCCACATGGGCAGCCTCGTGTCCAAGGCCCCTGTGCGTACCAGGCATGTGCATGTGTGCCATGATGCAGGTTTGGCTGAGGCTGGAGATGGGTCACAGTGTGAAAACCTTGCTAGGGATGCCAACCTGTGTGTGTGTGAAGAAAGAGAACAAATTTTAAAGTAATTCAAAATATTTGATATTTCAAATACTTTTTGTTTTGTCTTTATATCTTCCATAGTTGTCCTGAATTTCCAAGGGTAGCATACTGCTAATCTCAAAACTTTAGGCATTATTCATATACAAAACACAGTATAAGCACACTCAATACTGTGTCCTTGGTTACTATTTGTAGAATAGAATTTAACAATTTAGAGGAGTCAGGTTCCAAATATTTTTCTTTCTTTTATCAAATTGTTTTACCTTCATAGCTGTGTGTTATTTAACTCAGAATTTTCAAATACATGCCAGAATAAAAATGACATGCCAACAAAGCAAATAAAATGTCAAAGGAGAACACTTTGGAAGATCGTTCTGATATGTTTTATATCTTTATCAGTACTGAAATCTCTTTCCTTTTTATTGTTTTCTTATTGAAGGTTTTTCCCATAGGGTACATGCACTCTCCAGCTAGGAGAAACAAAGAGAGGGAAAATGAGAAATCACCCCCTTGGGGGTAGCCATGCCACACTACCTGCTCCATTCTCCTCCTAGGATTTTGGGCACCCACACACACGCTCCAAGTGTGATTTTCAAGATGCTAGGTCTGGGACTCAAATTGCAGTTGGCCCTGTGGGAGTTCAGCACCTTAACCACTACGCCATCTGCTGGCACCTCTTATTGTTTTAATTGCCAGAAGATATGTGGACTTCTCTGAGAGGAACAGAGACACAGAGAAAGAGGGAGAGTCCTTCCCTGGCCAGGCATAATCACTCCACAGTCCCCTCTCCATTTTTTATCCTGTTGGGATTTGGGTCATATACATGCATGCATCCAGTGTGTTTTTCAAGGACCTAGGATTCAGTTTCCGTGGTCTGCTACGTGGGATCCAGAACCAGCCCTGAAATCACCTTTACCTCAACATTCTTTTTCATTCTTTAACACGTGTAATAGGAATGATGCTTTTAACTGATCAACTAGTGTCTGCTGTTTCATGCACAAATCATTATAAATCACCACATCTACTTGTGTATTGGGAACTCTTCCTCAATCTATTTATTTTTGAGTTTTAAAGTTTTAACTTAGTTTGTGTTTCTTCAGGTCAGATCAATATATTTGTATCATACAATCCACAACTTCCACAAAGTGTAAAGGAAATGGATTATTCTGTTTTAAAAAACATCAAGGGTGGGATGTGATAAGAGTTTAATTCATTTGTGGGAAATAAGAGGAAGAGAGTCAATTGTAAAAGTAGTAACTGTTTGGGGCCAGCAGGTGATGTAGTGGGTAAGGCACTGGACTCCTACATGGCCGACCGTGGTACGAGTCCTGGACCTGGCGACTCACACCAGGCACATATGCATGCATGCCCAGAATCCCAGGAAGGGAGTGGAGGAGAAGGGACTGTAGCGTAGCCATCCCCCCTATGTGATAATGCCTCACTCTCTGTCTCACCAGTGAGTACATGAACTTGATAGCAAAAAATCTCTCCAAAAAAATAAAAAATAGTTACTTCTTTGCATTCATAAGTTTTGTTTTGTTTTGCTTTTAATTAAAGATGATTAAGTAAATTTGTAACACAGTGGAATAGGGTAAGAGAAGGTAATGTTTGGGAGGTGATAGCTGTGTTAAATATTTTAAAGTTCCCTATAGCAAAAATCTCTCTTCAAAAATAATTTTAAGTTCAGTAGTAATATAGTGTATAATGTATAGTTAACATTGGAAACATTTCTGTACTTTGTGACCAGAATCCTCCTAATGCCTGCTATGGAATAATACAGGATTTAATGAACTGATGTGTCTATTAAAAAGTATATACCTTATTTAACTTGATATATGATGCTGGAAATTAGTTACTACTTCAAAACCTCAGTACTTCAAAAGAATGTTGTACTATGATGATTTAGCATATTATAAAACAGATAACTGAAGTATAAAATACTGATTAAATAAAAGCATAAAAAGCTTTTTAAATGTGCTACTCTTTTTTTAGCTCTTTTTTTTAAAAAAATTTTGGATTTTGCTATAAGGTGCATGTGCTCACCTGAGAGAGACAGAGAAAGAAAAAGTAAGAAATCACCCCTCGGGGGGATGGCCATACCTCAGCCCTTTCTCCTCCATTCTCCTTTGGGGATTTTGGGCACACACACCCATGTGCCCAGCATTATTTTCAAGCCACTGAGTCCAGCACTTGAACCGTGGTTAGCATGTGTGAGGCCAGTTCCTTAACCACCACTCCACCTACTGGCCCCCTTTTTTGTGTTCTTAGTAAGTAAAGATAAATTATACAAAAATGAAATATTTGCTTAATTATAGTCCAGGTTTTATCCCTGCATTTCAGTGATTCAAGTAAGATGTGGAACTATTAGAAGACTGACTTTTTCTTCTGATTTCTTGTCATTAGCTTATAGGAGCTCGATTAGATGAAGAAACAAGTTCTGTTGGACGAGAACAAGTAAATAAAGCCTATCATGCATATCGAGAGGTTTGCATTGATAGAGATAATTTGAAGAGCAAACTGGATAAAATGGTAAGTTGGCTTGAAAAGAATTTCTGTATATTACAAATATCTTCTCCTTTAATAAAAGGTTTAAAATGAGAAAGAAGAGGTTAAGTATTTACATTGATTAAAAACTTAAAATATACATGTTCAAAGCAAAATAGAAAATTTTAATAGTTTATAACTTATTTATTACAAAAATAATACTTAGTATTTAATAATGTTTACTTTTTTTTTTTGGACAGTTTTTGCTATAGGGTGCATGTGCTCGCCAAAAAGACAGAGAGAGAGAAAGCGAGAAATCACCCCCCGGGGGGGATGGCCACATCGCAATCCCTTCTCCTCCATTCTCTTCTCGGGATCTTGGGCACGTACGCATACGTGCCCCACGTGAGTTTAAGCCACCAGGTCCGGGATTCGAACTGTGGTCGACTACATGGGAGTCCAGCAACATAGCCATTACGCTAACTGCTGTCCCAATAATGTTTACTTCTTAAATACATCTAACATCACTAACTAATTTTAAAAAAGCATTACGTGGTAGAATTATTCATTGTATTTTTTTAAGCTAGTGAATAATAATGTCCTATGTTAGAAAATGAAGATTAGCGAGAAATTAGGTTCATTTTCTCCCATTGCTTTTAAAAGCCACAATAGGTATTTTCAGTGTCTACCTGAAAATTAAGATACAATACCAGTCTATAGATTTTATTGAATATAATTTGGCATTTTCCCTACTTAACTAGAATAAAGACAACTCTGAATCTTTGAAAGTATTGAATGAGCAGCTACAGTCTAAAGAAGTAGAACTCCTCCAGCTGAGGACAGAGGTGGAAACTCAGCAGGGTATGCCACTTACTTGTTATAAATATTCTAACAATTAAATTTGTTTCCATTTCTATGTTACAGCAATTACCAGTTTTCTCTGTGTCCTGAGGCCTTCACTTTTTAATTTTTTAGACTTATATTAATTCCTCTGTTTTACTTTCACATAGTATTTACTTCTTTTAACTTTTCTTTAGCTGTAAAGTATAGTTTTCCTAGAGAAAATTTAATGGTTTTTATTCAGGGCTAGTTTGTGATGAAGTAAAGGAAGAAAGGAGTAGAAAAACAGCCTCATCAAAACTTCTGTCCTGCTGGTATGTCCTGACTTTCTTTCTTACTGAACTTCTTGCTCACAGCTAGACACTTTGTCATGGATAAGTGACTTTTCATTTTCTTCCTTAAGGTTGTTAAAAGGTGCAGATGAAAAGTTGGGGTGGAATATTAGGTCTGAGGGATATGAATCTGTTCCAATAAACATTCTGATTAGACAAACTGAATGATAAGTTTCTGAGAGACCTTTGAGTAGGATTTTTTTTAATAGATGGAAACTAAGATATAAGTTGAGGATAAAGTGATATGCACTTAATATTGAGTTTGTATATTAAAATGTTTATGAATAAAATCATGTTGACATAATGTTCTAGGCCAATTGATCATACTTTGAGAGGACTAAATAGAATTTAGCTGAGATTCATTTATTCTGCTTATTATTTTTATCAGTCTTAACTTTGAGTTCTGCAAAATAGATTATTTGCCTACAGTTTGAACGTATGTTTGGGTAGAGTATTAATAAAAATTCAGACTGACAAATCTATACTTTTAACTGAAGTAGAAAATCAGGGATGGGTGATTAATACATTCTAAAAGATGATTGCTAGGTTTATTATTCTCATTAGCATAGTTTTTTTTAACGTAATTACTTTAAAAAAAAAAACTATTAATGAGTGTGCATGCTTTATATTAGTTTTTCTGTTATCCACATTTTACCATCATAACAGTTTTAGAATTACCATTAGTGTTGAAGACAACAGTAACAGTTTTGCTGTCCCTCCTTTTTGTAGTGATGAGGAATTTAAATCCACCTTCATCAAACTGGGAGGTGGAGAAGTTGAGCTGTGACCTGAAGATCCATGGTTTGGAACAGGAACTGGAACTGATGAGGAAAGAATGCAACGATCTCAAAACAGAGCTACAAAAAGCCAAACAAACGGTAGTACAGAATAAGTAAATTGAGAACTTCACTATTATTCTGCATCATATGTAGCCTTCATAACTCAGTATTAAACCATAGGTAACGTAAGTTGTAACTACTTAGGAATATTCCAGTCCCTGAAAAATTCATGTTTATTGTCCCATGTTAATCCTTTATGCTGAAATTTTATATACTGTATACCTTTAGCCTGATCTCTCACAATTATACAATTTTTGTTTTTAAAAATGTTTGTAATTTTTTAAATTTACTTTCTTTTATAACTATTTTTTCAAATTGTCTTTCTATTGATTTCCTTATGGTATTTATTTTTATCCATGTAATGCCTAAAGAGAGGTTTTAAGATTCCATTTTATTTTACTTAAAAATTTGATTTTTTTATACATTTTTATACATTGTAAGAGCCAACTTGATTTTTAAGTTTCTTTAAAAAAAATAATCAGCCACAAAGGAAACTTTACAGAGCTTGCTTTTCAGAAGACTTAACACATTGGGGGCAACTGCAAATATCAACAAAGAGCTAAGAATTCAAGAACTGGAAAAAAAAAATTGTAGAACTAAAGTATGACTAGCCTAAAGTCATCCATTAAAGCACAAACTGTCTCTCAGGTTCTCATCAAGACTGTGTTTACCAGTATATTGAGTTGGGCTCTAGCAAGCTTGGATTGTAAGCATTCAGATGTCGTGACAGATAATGCTGAGTTTAAAAGAGGAAATGATATAGAAGCAGAGGGGTGTGAGAGCAGTGAACCAAATGCAAAATTTACCATAGTTGTCACAAAAAATTGAAAAACTTCCTAGTCTGTAGCAAATAGCCATTTGATCATTCATGTCTTTCAAACTAAAGTATAATCCGTTATATAATTGTTTCTCAACCATTTTGTCCGCCAGAACATTCCAACACTGTTGAGAAACTGTGTGTTGTATTCTGTGTTCCTCTGAGATGTACCACTCGAAAGAATTACTGCTTCCTGACTGCCAGCTAGGATTCTACCCCGGAATCCCAAGTCTCACTAAATGGAGCTGACTTTCTCTCTTCTATAATGTAGTCTTTATCAGAGGTGACCACTAGATAAGATGAGCTGTGCATGAAGAATAATGTAGCAGGCCAGCCTGGTAGTGTGTTGGTTAGGACAGCTGGATCCTACATGGCTGACTATGCCATTCATATGCTGGACCTAGAAGACTGAAAAACATGCTGGGTGCATGTACATGCCCAAAATGCTGAGATGAGAATAGAGGAGAAAGGGGTCGTGGTGTGGTCATGCCCCGGGAGGGTGCTTTCTCACTTTCCCCCTGTCTCCCTCTCTGGTGAGCTCATGTACCCTATAGCAAAAGAATAGTAATAATAATAAATTTTTAAAATAAATAAATAAAGGAATAAGGAATAATGCAGCATTCTACCCTTTGCTAGACCAAATGAATTCTTAACTAGGAAGTGAGCTCCCACCCAAAGGGGAAACAATAGGAAAATTACTGTCATTCCTATTAGAGTCAGATTTTTTTTTTTCTCCTTTCCCCCTACTTGACGTCCGAAGTTGGTTTTCCCAGCTTTGAAGTTGGCCACACACCACAATTCCTTCAAGATCCAGTATCCTGTTCCACAATATCCAGTTGCCATAACCACTGAGAAGTCTCTTTTGAAAAGATGTGCTTTCAAGGAAAATCTGTACCTTGCAGCTCTGAATTACTGTCAGTATCTACATTCTACCTGAAAGGCAGTAATTTCATAACTTCTGTACATATTGGGTATTTCACTGTAGAGTCAGAAGCAGAGCCCCAGAATTGTAGACAGCTGGCTATAATCATGATGGTTTAACTGTGTCACATTAGAAATGCATTTGACTTTTTGGAGCCTGTTTTCTATAAAGTAAACATTAAACACATTTTCCCCCTGAAAGTTAGTGTGTATATAAATTCCCTGTACATAGTATATTTTCAGTAAGTAGATGTTTTTCAAAATAAGCTTGATTAAAGTAATTCAGAAAGGGAGTGCTTTCAGAGGTGTGTGTGTATGCAATGTTTTAGTTCTTAACTTATTCCACTAGGTGGTGCTAGGGAAATAAATTTGGTTTTAGTTTAAATGTATCAGAAACAGCCAAATCACAGAAACAGATTTTTAAAGATAGAAGGCACTTTAGAAATCACTTTTTTTAACTGATGAAGAAATTAAATCTAAGAAATGTCTAAGAGTTGCAAGTGAGGTGAAGAAGGAATATGAAAAAAATTAAAACATTGTCTCCACCTTTTATGCATTTATTGGGGTAGAGGAAACCTGTCTCGTTTAAAAAATATAATACATCCTTATTATAAATTAATGAACTAGGAAAGGGAAGAACAGAGATACCAATTTATGAAGGGTTTCAGGTTTAAATCTTGATGTTAATAGGATTTATACTTATAAGTCTTGTTTTAAAAGTATTGCTGATCAGTCATCTAATATAAGAACCTGAGAGCAAACCAAAGGAAAAATTTGTGTTCACATAAATCATCGTTCTTATATCTACTATAGCTGTGTTTGCAAATACTTCTAAGATGGTACTCCTGTGAAACATTTTATAATACATTCTGTATGTGCGCATGTGTGTATATGGTGTTTTTTTCTAGTCTTGCTATTTTCTGTTCTGCTTGCCTCTGATTTTCAAGTAGCTGGGACCATAGTCACATGCTACCAAGCTTGGCTCTTATTATGTTGCCCATGCTGACTGTGAACTCACGATCCTTCTACCTGAGCCTCCTGAGTAACTAGACTACAGGCTCGTGCCATCGTGCCAGTTTTTCAGAGCAGGTCAGCAATCTAACCTGCTAATCTAATCTAATCTAACGGCCTCCCATTTAGCCTCAGCCTGTCCAGCAGCGGCGTCCAGTGCTGCAGCACCACAGCGAGGCCTACAGTGCCTTCTAAAGTGTGTAGTGACATCCTAAGTGCACATGGTAGTATCTTTTTGTCTTTTGCGGAGTTTTCAGTGTGGGGTTGGTGAGGTCAAGGTTTCAGGAGCACTTCCATTATGGTCGTTTCAGACTTCCTATATTTATCCCTTAGTATTCCAGCCTTTTATAGTCAGAACAGTTAATCCTGTGATAATCCGTTATATAATTGTTTCTCAACCATTTTGTCCGCCAGAACATTCCAACACTGTTGAGAAACTGTGTGTTGTATTCTGTGTTCCTCTGAGATGTACCACTCGAAAGAATTACTGCTTCCTGACTGCCAGCTAGGATTCTACCCCGGAATCCCAAGTCTCACTAAATGGAGCTGACTTTCTCTCTTCTATAATGTAGTCTTTATCAGAGGTGACCACTAGATAAGATGAGCTGTGCATGAAGAATAATGTAGCAGGCCAGCCTGGTAGTGTGTTGGTTAGGACAGCTGGATCCTACATGGCTGACTATGCCATTCATATGCTGGACCTAGCAGACTGAAAAACATGCTGGGTGCATGTACATGCCCAAAAATCCTAAGATAGAATAGAGGAGAAAGGGGTCGTGGTGTGGTCATGCCCCCGGAGGGTGCTTTCTCACTTTCCCCCTCTCTCCCTCTCTGGTGAGCTCATGTACCCTATAGCAAAAGAATAGTAATAATAATAAATTTTTAAAATAAATAAATAAAGGAATAAGGAATAATGCAGCATTCTACCCTTTGCTAGACCAAATGAATTCTTAACTAGGAAGTGAGCTCCCACCCAAAGGGGAAACAATAGGAAAATTACTGTCATTCCTATTAGAGTCAGATTTTTTTTTTTCTCCTTTCCCCCTACTTGACGTCCGAAGTTGGTTTTCCCAGCTTTGAAGTTGGCCACACACCACAATTCCTTCAAGATCCAGTATCCTGTTCCACAATATCCAGTTGCCATAACCACTGAGAAGTCTCTTTTGAAAAGATGTGCTTTCAAGGAAAATCTGTACCTTGCAGCTCTGAATTACTGTCAGTATCTACATTCTACCTGAAAGGCAGTAATTTCATAACTTCTGTACATATTGGGTATTTCACTGTAGAGTCAGAAGCAGAGCCCCAGAATTGTAGACAGCTGGCTATAATCATGATGGTTTAACTGTGTCACATTAGAAATGCATTTGACTTTTTGGAGCCTGTTTTCTATAAAGTAAACATTAAACACATTTTCCCCCTGAAAGTTAGTGTGTATATAAATTCCCTGTACATAGTATATTTTCAGTAAGTAGATGTTTTTCAAAATAAGCTTGATTAAAGTAATTCAGAAAGGGAGTGCTTTCAGAGGTGTGTGTGTATGCAATGTTTTAGTTCTTAACTTATTCCACTAGGTGGTGCTAGGGAAATAAATTTGGTTTTAGTTTAAATGTATCAGAAACAGCCAAATCACAGAAACAGATTTTTAAAGATAGAAGGCACTTTAGAAATCACTTTTTTTAACTGATGAAGAAATTAAATCTAAGAAATGTCTAAGAGTTGCAAGTGAGGTGAAGAAGGAATATGAAAAAAATTAAAACATTGTCTCCACCTTTTATGCATTTATTGGGGTAGAGGAAACCTGTCTCGTTTAAAAAATATAATACATCCTTATTATAAATTAATGAACTAGGAAAGGGAAGAACAGAGATACCAATTTATGAAGGGTTTCAGGTTTAAATCTTGATGTTAATAGGATTTATACTTATAAGTCTTGTTTTAAAAGTATTGCTGATCAGTCATCTAATATAAGAACCTGAGAGCAAACCAAAGGAAAAATTTGTGTTCACATAAATCATCGTTCTTATATCTACTATAGCTGTGTTTGCAAATACTTCTAAGATGGTACTCCTGTGAAACATTTTATAATACATTCTGTATGTGCGCATGTGTGTATATGGTGTTTTTTTCTAGTCTTGCTATTTTCTGTTCTGCTTGCCTCTGATTTTCAAGTAGCTGGGACCATAGTCACATGCTACCAAGCTTGGCTCTTATTATGTTGCCCATGCTGACTGTGAACTCACGATCCTTCTACCTGAGCCTCCTGAGTAACTAGACTACAGGCTCGTGCCATCGTGCCAGTTTTTCAGAGCAGGTCAGCAATCTAACCTGCTAATCTAATCTAATCTAACGGCCTCCCATTTAGCCTCAGCCTGTCCAGCAGCGGCGTCCAGTGCTGCAGCACCACAGCGAGGCCTACAGTGCCTTCTAAAGTGTGTAGTGACATCCTAAGTGCACATGGTAGTATCTTTTTGTCTTTTGCGGAGTTTTCAGTGTGGGGTTGGTGAGGTCAAGGTTTCAGGAGCACTTCCATTATGGTCGTTTCAGACTTCCTATATTTATCCCTTAGTATTCCAGCCTTTTATAGTCAGAACAGTTAATCCTGTGAGAAATATGGACTCTAGGGCCCAGGAAGTGTAAGAAACACTGGATCGGTAAGATGGAGTTGGTTTAGAAGATCCTTAAGTTCCCTAGTACTGGGTCATCAGGAAAGTCATGATGTATTTTTCTATGCAAAAATGTCATGACTTTTCCGACAACCTATTAATTTAGAGATTTGCAGTATGCTATATGATAAAGGTTCTGAGAAGTCCTGTAGTATGTATATAACTTTAACACTGTTTCCCAAGATTTTATCACTGTAGGCCTGTTTATGTGACGCTCCCACATCGGGGGTAGTTGGGAAACAATCATTACTGCCTTTAGGACAGACGAATTACTGGTCAGGAACAAAGTCTTTGAATATTAGAAATAATACCTTTGAGGTGAATTTATAGCTGATTTATATTACTTTTTTTAATTGATCCAACAGTAGTTGGGAAAAATATTTTTCCACTCGAACAATGTTTTTATACTGTTGGCCTTAAAAGTGAAGTTTTCCAATGAACATATATTTAAGTGTACACTAATTTTTTAAAAAATGATAGATACGAAGAAATTGAAAGTGATTTAATCTGATTTCTTATTTCCTTTAAAAAAAAAAAAAAAGAAACGGGAAGGAAGAGTATTCAGGATATGTGCTTTCTTAGAGGTCAGGTCTCCCTGGACTCATGAACCAGTTTTCCTTCCCTCTCCATTGGGCTCCTAAAGATGCAGTTTACAGTATTAAAACCAGAGATTCAGAAATGGCTTGACTCCTGTAATATGAAGCGTTTTTGATATTTTACTTTCTCAGGTTTAGAGAACTCATGAAATCCTGGTGCAGCTTTTTAATATTCCTCTTAAGACATTTAATTTACATTATGTAAGTAAAAAATAATAAAATTAAATTGCATTCTCTAACTGTAATGGCCACCTCTGCCCATAGAACCTGTGGTAGTTATTTTATTACAGCCCCTTAACATGAGAATTCATTGCAAAGAAGTGTTACAGAGGTGTCTTCAGCATGTTAAGTTCATTTCGATGTATCTTTTAAGCTTTCTGTTGTATCTACAACCTAAACTACTAAAACTTAAAAGTATACAGGGACAGGGTCAACAGGTGGCATCATGATTAAGGCCCTGGACTCCCACATGGCCTACCATGGTTCAAGTCCTGAACCCAGTGGCTCGCTTTCTCATTTTCCCTCTTGTCTGTCTGTCTCTGGTGAGTGTCCATGCGCTACAGCAAATTTTAAAATAATAACAACAATAAATAAAATTCTTTTTATAAAAAAAGTATACAGGGACTTCATGAAGTCCTTTCCAGGTCATTTTCTGTCTATTTGGAAGGAGGAAATTTGTGCTGATCTTTTTAAACATAACCTGTGGAATCTTTCATGCTTTCTGTGATAATACAAAAAAGTAAAAGAGTAAAAAACTTACATTTTCCTGTGGAACTCACCAGAGTATATCATGAGTAGAGACATGTAATAAATTTATACTTTTTTTTGAATGTAGACATCAGACTGACATGTACAGAATTGATAAAACTTCAAGTTCTTTTACATGAGAGTAATTTTACTTTTTAAGCAGTAGTGCTTAAAATAATTGGAAGTGATTTAGAAGTATTTGCTATAGGTTAGAGGTTGTTCATTAAAACTGAGTATGAAATTTAATTTTATGCTGTGAAATTATTCAGCTATAAAAGTTGAAACATGTCTCTGGTAATGCAGAGCTAAGAATAAATAGAATGTAGCCATTACAGTTTTTAATTTATTAATTAATTTATTTATTTTAAATAAATGGCAGAATCCATCTCAGGAAGACAATCTGAAGAGCAAAGATCTCCAAAGAATAAGTGTTTCAAGGTATGAATATTATGCAGCCTTAAAATAATACATGTTCTCTTCCATTGGTCACTTGGTATAGGTACCTAGATTTCTGTTATGATTGAACTTACGATTTAACTTTAAAAATAAACTAAATGGATACTGTTGATTAGATCATGAATGTAATGTCCAATCACTATGTATTTATTTTAAAATCATTAATCAGCAGACTCGAATTTAAGTAGCAGGAATATGCACATTGTAATATATTAAACAAAATTTCTGAACATAAGTAGTCTTTTAGATAGGATTTAGGGACCTAGCTATGAAGCGTTCTGTAATAAGATCTGATTTTGTACGTGAAGAATTAAGCATTTCCACATACAGTAATATCCCTTGGTCTTCAGGGCAAACTTGGGCCACCCTAGTCTCTAGGATAGCATGAGTTTTGAGAGAATTATTTCCTCCTGGGATAAGAACAGAAGTAGCTATCAGAGTTATGTACTGTGCTTCAGCCTTTTCTTAGCCAGTATATATAATTTTCACTTAAGTTGTTTTGAATTATCTAATCATTTTGTATCTGCAATGTTAAGATGGGTACTTTCGCCATCCAATAAAAAATACTAACTATACTTCATTGCTCAGTCATTTGGCGTTCAACATTTACTGGCCTAAATAAATAATGTGAGTTATCTCAGACCTATTCTTATTAAAAAAAAAAAAAAAAAAAAAACCTGCCTTAACAGAAATGATCAGTTAGGAAAAACAGTTTGAGAGAATGACATGTATCCACTCTTCTAAATCAGGGGTAATCAGATCCTTCCCACGAAGTGCCAGCAGTAAATATTACAATCCTTGTGAGCTGGCCACACAGTCTCTGTTACAGTTCAGACAGTTTTACTCTTTGAGAAATATTTCATGTATGTGTGCCCTTGAATTTTATCTCAGTTTACAGCAAGTTTTTCTTTTAAAAATAAAATGTGTTGATAGTATGCATGTAAACTTTTTCTCAAAGTTACCTTCTTTGCTAAAATTACCTTTTCTCTTGTCTACTTAGGTTTCCCTTTATTTCCTGTATTTGTCATTTTTATAAGCCACTTTATTTTTTTAGAGAGAGATATTTGTGATAGGACGTGTGCACTTGCTGGAGAGACAGAGAGACAAAGAGACAGAAAGCGAGAAAGCACCTCCTCCCCAGGGGGAAAGGCCACACCACAGTCCCTTCTCCATTCTCCTCTCAGGATTTTGGGCATGCAAGTACATGTGCCTGGCTTGAGTTAAAGCTGCTGGGTCCAGGACTCAAACTGCTGTCCACAACATGGGAGTCCAGCAACCTAAACACTATGCCATCTTATAAGCCACTTATGTCCCTTACAAGCCACCTTAAATCACTATTAGAAAGACACAGGGAAGGAACCAATGTATTGGAATAAGAATAGGCTAGTAAAGTGGCTCTGCAGAGAGCCAGATGGTGGTGCAACGGGAAAATGCAGTGCTCTGTACGGTCATCTCAGATGGAAAGGATCCCAGTTCAGATTCCAAGAACTCCGAGTACCCCGGGCATGTGCTGTGTTTGGGGGCTGACTAGGGGCTAGGGTGGATCACATCACTGCCCTTCTAAAAGGAGTAGTGTCTTTTTTTTCCCCCCACTGATAGAAGAAATAATTTTTTGTGTTTTGTTTTTGTCGTAGGGCAAGTGCACTCACTGGAGACAGACAGGTGAGAAATCACCTCCCAGGGAGTATGGTCATGCCACAATCCCTTCACCTCCATCTTCTCTCAGGATTTTGGGCATGTACACATGCACATTCCCCATGATTTTTGGGCTGCCAGGTTCTGGACTCAAACCATGGTCAGCCATGTGGGAATCCTTTGCCCTAACCACACCACCTGCTGTCCCCTAAATAAATTTTGTAAGTGTCCATATAAATACTGTATTAGAAATATATATGGGGCCAGCAGATGGCATAAAGGTTATATCACTGGACTCCCACATGGCTGACCATGGTTCAAGTTCTGGAATCGGTGGCTTGAAACTCATGCCGGGCACATGTGCACGTGTGCCCAAAATCATGAGAGGAGGCTAGAGAAGGGGTTGCAGCATGGCCATCCCCTTTGGTCTGTCTCTCCAGGCGCATACAGTCCATGGCAAAAATTTCCTTGAAAGAAAATGTGATACAGGGTAGGACTTATACATCCATTCATTGGGGGTTGCACAATTTGATTACTTCATTGAAAATAACTTAAAAAGCTTGCTTTTCCCCCACCTCGAAATGTATGTTTAATGAGGTGAGATAACTAACAAATATTGAGGAATTTCTATTCTAAGATTTGATGGAGGTTGAAGACCCAAGGAAGTAAGTCCAGGTTTTGAGTTTGCAGGGCGATCAATGTGGCTCCAGCATGCAGCCTTCAATTCTCTTGAGCTCGGTGTTGACAGAGGATCAGCTCAAAACAGTTTTTAGAAAACACTGTCTTGAGTTCAGTGTAAAAGTTAGTGTGAAAATTATACAAAACATATGGCATGTTGCTGTAAATAAAACATGACCTTTCTAAGTACAAATTGGTTTTTTGGTTTTGGGGGTGTTTTGAGAGGTTTTTGCTATAGGGCATGTGCGCTTGCCAGAAAGACAGACAGAGAGACAAAGTGAGCTTTCAGACCAGATTCAGGTATGGAGTTACTATACTTTTGCTCATCATCTGTAAACTTACATTGTGGAACTGTGTTACAGAAGGCATCCTAAAATGTAAATCCCTGGTTTAGAAAATATGGGCTAGGTTAGTGTTTTTCCAAACTCTTCTGTGTTTCCTTAGTAATCATAAAATTCTGTGAGTTATGACAAACATTTTTAAAAGATGGATAAAACAGAATAGGACAGACCAGAGTGTATTACACACAGTAAAGGGTAAGTATGGTTTCTTATATATTGCTTTTTTGGGGGGGGAAGGATGCAGTGTAAAATGATTGCGCCTTGCAATCAAAAATATTTGAAAGACTTATTTGAGAGTCACACTTGTCAGAATATACATTTTGAGTCTGTTGCTCTTGGTTAAGAATATCTCATACTGGGGAACCAGCAGTTAGCGTAATGGCTATGTCGCTGGATTCCCATGTAGTCGACCGCGGTTCGTGTCCCGGACCCGGTGGCTTAGAACAAACACATGCCGGGCGCGTGTGCGTGCGTGCCCAAAACCCCGAGAGGAGAATGGAGGAGAAGGGATTGCGGCGTGACCATCCCCTCTGGGGGGTGATTTCTCGCTTTCTGTCTTTATGTCTCTCTGTCTAGCGAGCGCATGCGCCCTATAGCAAAAAAACCTCTCAAAAAAAAAAGAAAAAAAGAATATCTCATACTTAAATTTTACATCCTCTGGGAAGATATAGGAGTTCAGTAAAATTTCAGTAGCTAAAATATACATACATGTATGTATGTATATACATATGTATGTTTATACATGTATATGGCTGAAGTATGAACTTACAGAAGTTTTTTTCTTTTTAAGAGATTTTTATACTGAAATATTCAGTGTATAGTGTCAGTCAGTTCAGGAAACTGGACTTTCACAGTTTTACTTGGTAATCAGGACATGTACCCACCCCCTTGTTGAGATTGGAACAAACAGGTTTTATGACATTTAACATCAGAGGTGACGTTCTTTACCGGAGCTGAGAAGATTGTGCTGGCAGTCAGCATACTGTAGGTCCTTGGCAAAAGGATGACAAGGACACGGGAACTGCCACCCAGAGGGCAGCAGTGAGTCAGTCCGACAAGATAGGTAGGAGAGGACTGTGAACAGCAAGGTGTTAGCAGTAGACTCCTGAACCTGTTCTCTCATGGTTAAATGAGGTTACTCACTTTGCCAGGTTGGCGTGAGAATGTGAGTGAAGTATCTCATAGCACATAAAATTACTAAGTGCACAATAATCGTGTGTGTTTCTATTTTACTTTTTAGGGTTCTCATTTTAGATGCTTTCGTGTTCTGTTTATAGTATTTAGGTAGTTACATAAGTTCTTCATTGACTGCAATATCCTAAACAACTATCAGTAGGATTTTGCTTATATGGCATTTAAACCAAAACTTAAGTCCACACTCCCAGGTGCGGAACTGGGATTAGGTTTAGAGGCAAGGGGAGACATAATATATGCACAGTCTAAAAACTCTTGAGATAATAGTTGGAACCCTCATAAATATTTGAGGGTTGACAGTTTGCTTTTTCCAGTTTTAAGTAATGGTTTAAACATTTTGTTCAAGCAGATACAATTTTGTTCAATAGATAGAAATTCATTTTTTTACACACTTTCAAATAACTGTGAAGTGGGTAACGTTAGCTGCCATTACTTCGTTATCCACAAGAGGGAGAGCTTGTACTTAGTAATAGTGTTAGATTTTTATATCTGTAGCTTTCAATTCAGGCTATATTAAGAGTGAAAGAAAAAAGACTAGACAGATATATTTTAAACTCGGTGGCCTACTTTTCAATATCACTGAATTTTTAAGCAATATTCATTAAATTCAATTGAAAAATATATATTAGATATCATATTAGCACCTTTATTAGAATCGCCTTTTTTACTTTTCATGTCTAGCTATTTTGAGTGATAAGATATGCTTGGTATTTTAGTACCCAGATATGTTCTTGGGTATTTACTTTGCTTGTCTCTTAAGTCACTACTGGTCTATCGTCTCATGCCAGTCAGTAATAAACTTTTTTAAAACTATATTATTCATTTATATCATGACTTTCTGCAGGAATTAGCACGTGTAAAGTGTTCATATTTACTGCTGTATAACGTAACTCTCAGTAAGCATACCGGGTGCTGTGGATTATAGCAGAGAACTAGCAGCTCTCTTCACACTTAAGACAGGTTACTATGTCAAACATTCTTTGTAGCAACATCTCAGATGTTTACTGGTGAAATACAGAGATAGTTAACTAATTTTTGTGAAGTAAATATTTCACACCTATCAAAAACCTGCAAAAAGCCCTGTGATTTTTAAGATGCTATGGGTTAACAGGTGACATTTATAACACCAAAGCCAGTAGATTTTTCTGAAAAGCAATATTCTACTGCTTGTATTGTAGGAATTATAGTCTTGAATGGGAACATTCTGACAAAAGATATTTAACTCACATAATTGAAAGTAATTCAGTTTTTTAGTACATCCATTGCTTCTACAATTAAAGTACTAGATTGAGATTTCAAGATTGTTATCCCCAGGAATTTTAAGTTTTTTATCATTAGAAAAAATTGAAGCATAAGAAATATATTGACCTAAATTGACTTTTATACTACTAGCAGTACACTAAAAGGCAGAAATTGTAGTTTAAATGCTATGAGATTATTCTTACATTTAATATTTCATATATACTTATATAAGATGAGGCTACATGCCGAAGACTTTAAGTTAATTTAGTTGGCAGTTAACCTATAGAAGAAAAATGTGAATGTCCAAATAATATTTAATGGAAAACAGAACCTATAAAAATCAGGTATCAAAACAACTAGTTTTTGAGATAGTTGAGGTAAAATACTTCTAATTATAAAAATGAAAAGCATTTTGAAATTTACTTCATATAATCCTCCCTCTCTAGCTTCTTTTTCCTTACCAGGAAATCATCTGGCTCTTCATGTCTTGTGCTGTCATGTCACATTGGTTTAGAACCAACAATATGAGACAGCCCAGTCAAACATAAAGAATGTAATGCATGAAACCTAAATTTTATTTTAATGTGGATAGGGTATACATTCACCAGTTATTTCAGTTCACAACAGCGAAACTGTCAAAAGCTAAAGACAAATTTGAGTTCATACGCGAATGGATGTAACTTTATTGTTGATCATATTTGCAGATGAAGAACGTATCTTTACTACTTACTAACTGGCTATAATAAAACCTCAGTTCTGAGAACAGACCTGTAGGAAACTCATCGATTATAAAAATTTATTTTTACCATACCCCTTTGCTTATTACAGTAGTTGATTGCTAGAAATCAGGACAGGTTACTCTAATAAGATCTCATTTAATATAATGCCCTAATTAAATAGCTTTCATTTGTTTATATAATCTCAAAACTAATTGGAGCAGAAATAGAGATCTATTTTGAATTTTAAAGTTACTCCCCTTTTTCCCATAAAAGGCAATTAGTCTTAACTTTTTTTTTTTTTTAAACTATTTCAGTGACAATATGCAACATGCATACTGGGAACTGAAGAGAGAAATGTCTAATTTACACCTGGTAGCTCAAGTACAAGCTGAACTACTAAGAAAACTGAAAACCCCAACTGCAATCAAGAAAGGCAAGTCACTATTTGCCGGAAACCACTGATTCCAACCAGAGTGCTTGAAGAGCAACTAGCTATCGTATCTTACCCAAATCTCATCAAAAGAGCTTGATAAGCCAAAGTGTATATATGTATATATAGTATGTTCTCAGCCTTCCCCGTTCTCTGCTTTGGCTTCAGCCTCATACTGGTCAACTTCACACATAAAGGTGTTGCTGATGTGTTTTTTCTTCAGTACTGTATTCTTTTCCCCTTGTGGCTTTTCTCAACCAAGTGTTGCTTATGTGTATAAGGCTGAGGTGTTAAGTTTGCTCTAGTTGACCTTTTACCACAACTACTTCAAATTAAAAAAAAAAAAAGATACCAAAAGCAAGTTTTCATTCTGGTGCCACAGAATACACCAAAGACCTAGTTCTTAAGCTGTTTGTTTTGGAAAAAAATAACTTTGATTCATTATTTTGGTTGGTTGTGTTTTTTATGAACGTAGCTCATCTTTATAGGATAACTGATTAGAATGGAGACTAGGTGCTTTTCCTTTTAACCAAACAAAATTTTTCATTGCTTTTCATATTTAACAGCTCAACTGATTGTTTGGACTTTTGTGTTAACTAGTACTGTCATCTTCAGCAAAGCTCTTTTTATACTTTAAGAGAAAAAAATCAGTGTATTTATACCTAGTATTTATTACATGGTTGTTTTTGAAAAGTTGCACAGTATAAATGCCTTAAAATTTTATTTTTGTAGAAAAAATAATCATCTAATTTAAAATTGTTCTTCTACCCCACAGTTATCTTTAAGAGAGAACATGAGAATTGTGTTTTATAAATAATTCTCAGAAGTATTTTTTAGGGGGGTGTTGCACATGAAGGAAGGAAAATTGAATTCAGAATTCCTTTTTGTTTCTGGAGAGTTGGTAACTTAGACATCAGGCAGAAAAAAATATATATGCTGTTTTAGCAAGCCTCTCTTAATTTATGGCTAAATTTGTCCTTGAGTTTTTCAGTGGTCAGGGTAGTATATAAAGGTCTATGTTGAAGGTACAAGTAAGAACTCACATTTAACAATTTTGCAGTGAATTTACAGTGTGGTTCCTTCTTGACAATAAATGTAACTCCCAAATAATATTATAAGAGAAATACTTTTTTCCATAGTTGGAAGTTCATCTCTGCATTCCTTCCTAGCTGATTAATAATATATCTCCTGGTGCCTTGGATTCTAAGTGTTCTAGCACATTTCCTCTGACCATGGCAGGTTCCAAGTCATCATGCCTTACCACAGAACTCACTGCTTTGAGGTATAGACAGATGAAGTAAAATCACCTGTTTTTCATGACCTACATAGCACCTTCTAATTCTCCCTCACCCCTATTCACCCTCCCAAGAAAAAAGGCAGCTTATTTGATAATGTGTTGAGTTTATCTCTTCTGAGTGAAACCTTAGTTACACTTAGCCATCCTTCTTAAACCAAGGATAATTTATCTTTCCACTCTGGTAGGGTAGTTAGAGGAAGAGGAGCACCTGTGTTACCATTCTGCTGGCGGTGGCTTTCAAGCAGTCGTCCTTCTAAGCCATTGCGTGTGTACAAAATAATGTATAAAACATTGTTATGTTTTTGTCCTTTTTATCTTGTCTTGTATTATTACCACAGGAAAGTATGCATTTGCTCCCAGATGTTTTACAAGAAAACAGGATTATTTAAACTAGTTTATCTTAAAAGCCTTTAAATGTATATTGAAAGTTTACTTGGGTCTCACCAATTAAAAGTATAATTATTTCTCAAAAAATTTACCTTTGAATCACCTATGGAGAAAAGGTTTGAATAAGGAAAGGAATTGCATTCAAGTAAAAAAATAAAACACTTAAAAACAACTTTCTCAGTCCCCACCAACAGACCATAAGCCTTCTCTAACCACATTAAAAGGCAAGAACAGAATCTTGTATTTGAACTTTATCCATTTCCAACTTTTTAAAATAGTTATCTTCTAACATCTCTGACATAGGCAGAACAGGATTGCTGTGTCTGCTTTGCAGATGAGGAAGGTGACATCTGGAATAGCCAAGGGTCTCACGTGAAGTCACAATGCCTATGTAGTCATACATCAGTCAGTTCCTGGGTACGTCTTCAGAAATTCATCCTTGGGTAATTTTACCATTGTATAAACACCATTGTCTACTTTACACATGGATAGCTTCTTGCACACGTCAGTATGGCAAGGTACACACCTTGGCTGTATGGGCTAGCCTATATAATCTTACAGGATGACCATTATATAGTCAGCTACTGACCAAGGATTACATAGTGCATGACTGTAAAGAGCCGATGTTACATTAGAATTCACATCATCTGTCTTATCTACGAGTCACAGTGCTATCATAATCACACAAACTGAGAGATGTTCATTTCGGTTGTAGAATTCAGCCAAATTTAATGGAGTATTATAGTCTTTATGATCGCCAAGTGCCATGAAAACTGACACTGAGCCTGTGCTTGCTTTTTAGCCTATACTCCAGTAGGATGCATTGAAGACCTCGGGAAAGACAGCACAAAACTGCACTTGACAAATTTTACTGCAACATACAAAAGACATCCCCCTCTCTCCCCAAATGGCAAAGCTTTGTGTCATGCATCTTCTCCTTCACCAGGAGATATAAAGATTTTATCAGAGAAAGCAATTCTCCAATCATGGACAGATAATGAAAGATCTATTCCTAATGATGGTACAGACTTTCAGGAACACAACTCTTACGGCAGAAATTCTCTGGAAGATAATTCTTGGGTATTCCCAAGCCCTCCTAAATCAAGTGAGACAGCATTTGGGGGAACTAAAAGTAAAACTTTGCCTTTACCCAACCTGCCACCATTGCATTACTTGGATCAACATAATCAGAACTGCCTTTATAAAAATTAATTCTGAAGAGATTCATGATTTAATCATGACAGCGCTCTCTCTCAGTGGTTCTTCTAAGAAATTACTTAACAAAGTGGATTTTGATTAACATCTTGCAGAGTTCTTCAGCATACTATATGATATTATGTAGTTGATTTTCTAATGTAAAAGAATAGCATCCTCCAGAAGCGGATTTTGATTAACATCTTGCAGAGTTCTTCAGCATATACCTTGGAACATACTACATGATATGTAGTTGATTTTCCAGTACAAAAGAAGAGCATCTTCCAGCTGCATATTCTAGGAATCATATATATGCTGCAATATTGATTTAAAAACTCAAGGTGTTTGAAAAAGACAGTTCTACCTTTGATAACAATTGTAAAATTTCACTTCAAAGTATAAAATTGGAGATTTTTAGACATGGTTTTGCAGCGTATGTGAAATGCCTCAATAGTCATTCATAAAAACTAAAAGTCATTAATATAGGAGAAAAACAATGCGTGTTACTTCAAATTATCTAAGGGAGCAACAGCAGTCTGAACAGGTTATGTTTCTGTTGGCCTTCTCATGCATAACGATGAAAAATAGAATGGAATAAAAGTGAGTGTTTAGGTTATTTATATGCGATTGTGTTTCAAAGTGTAAGATTTAAAATAACTTTTCAGTCACAGTGTTGCTTGTTGATAAAATTTCAAAATTGCAATTTGATTTTTAAGACTTGAAATACCTGGTTATTGAAACCACTTTGTACCAGAAAAGAATGATGAAATAGTTGAAAAACTATGTGGTGTGTGAATAAAATATTATACCTCTGTATACCATCCAATTAGAAGTAGAAAGAGCATCACACACATGTTTCAGCCTATCACTGTCCCTTCAGTGATCCATAATGAAAATCTACATGTATGTATGTAACTGTAGTCATATACTTCAAAGGGACTATCACTGCCTGTATCGTAGACTTTATTCATTGTTACACTTGTTTTGACCTGTAACAATTCACTTACTGAGAAAATAATTTTTAATTAGATTAAGAATTTTAATTCTAGAAACCAAATTGTGTGCTGTACTGATACAGTATAATCATGAAATGTTCCCAAACTTCCATACTAAGTGGCCAGTAATTTGTAAACAAGAAAATAACAAAGAAATGGCTTCACATAGAAATTTATCTAAATTATTTCAGAGTGGCAGTATTAAGAATATTAGTAAAATATGATACTTAGTACATACACCTTTTGCAGGATAAGGTGTTTCATATAGGACTTTGTCCTTTTTGATAGACAGTGTCATGTATTTTGAACTCAAAAGCATATTTCAGATCTCTTCTACTATATTACTGAATAGCATACATACATAGACAATGTTCACCGTTCACCAGATATTTTTGTCTTTCTATTATCTTACTCACTTATTCAAGCTTGTCTGTGATTAATGGAATTGGTGTCAGCTGCTGGAATTTATTCTGACCAATGAACACAGCTGACTCAAGGGAGTACAATCTCATGCCAAGTAATAGAACAAAACCAATATGCATAAAACAGACACAAGGCTTCAGGCTGTAGCTGAAGGAAGCAACTACCTGTGTAATAACAAAGCAGCAGGAACTATTTCTCATATGGTTGCATAGGCTGTATATTGTATCTAATCTCTAATGTAGCTTACTGGTTTGTCTTTTTTAAAACTAAGATTGGACATTTTTCTTTGTAAAGAAATGTCTTATGAGATAATGGCTTGATTAATGTTTTGAACAATGCCAAAAAAATTGTTTAATTAAAATAAATTATTTTTGTTTGAAATAAAAGTGGATGTGAAACACTGTCCTTGCCTATATAGCCCAAGGTCTGATACTGTTGGTTGTTCATTTGATTTATATGACAGATATTTGTCTTCCTAAACCAACTTTCTTTGAGTGAAAAGACATCTGTTCTATCAAACAGTAGTAATTAATGGGTAATTAATGTTCTTGAAAATTTAAAGTGCTAGATAAATGATGTATAAGACTCTTAAGGAAGGAGTCACCAAAAACAATTTTTACTAAGCCAGAAATTTTTAAACATATACTTGATGATCATGTGTGTTCCAGGTACTACTCAAAAAGAAACTGGAGGGGCCAGCAGGTGGCGTGGTGGTTCAGGAGCTGGACTCTTACGTGACCAATTGCAGTTCGAATCCCAGACCTGGTGGCTTGCTTTCTCACTTTTCCTTTCTCTTTCTCTGGTCAAATAAAAAATTATAATAGCAAAATTAAATAAATTATTATTTTTTTAAAAAAGAAAAAGGAAAAAACTGGAGTGGCCCATCCAAGCTTACTGAGGTAAAATTGTAAAGTTTTGGTTGACTTCTTTAAGGCTAGCTGAAACTTGCTCTAAAGAGCTTCTCTGGAAAATGTCTTTAATCTTGAGATTCTTTTTTTGTAAGATAACGCACCTCAGCACATCCATCACTCAACAGAATATAGACAACACCTATTCCTCCCATTGTTCCCTGTTAGCCAAAGTAAAATTTACATATTTTTAAAGGAATATTCTTTACTTAAGTTGCTCTCAAAATGGAAGTGAGTTCATAGGTAGGGCAGAGACATACACCTATGTGGTGAAACAGTAGAAAATGAAAATGGGAAATTTTGAACTTGAACTATAGAACTGAATCATCACAACAAAGTAATAATAGGCTATTTGGAGAAGATCTTAAGGACTTGGTTTTTTTGTTGTTTTTTTTTTTAAAAGGAAAACTTGGCAAGTTGTCACAAATATGGAATAATGTAACTCCAGCAAACAAAACTCCAGTGAAGCAAGACACTGAGGCAGATGTATCTGCCAGAGAAGACTTGTGTGTGGATAAGCAAGGATGTCCTGAAGGCTGTGATGAATGGTTTAGTTTTGGGCATCATAAAGGAATGAACGCTGTACTATTCAACATATGATTAATTTGTCAGGTACCTTTGGGGAAACTGACACACATACACATACGTAGATTTTCCACATGAAAGTTAAGTTGGCTATTACGATTTTAAACAAAATTGTAGTCACTGATTGTAAACTTCAGTAGTTCTTAAAGCAACTGCCTTATCTTGAGTCGTAAGTCATTAAAAACAAGAATTAAAGTCTTCTGCTCTAGGACATGCACCAAAAACAAAAGGCCAGTGAAGTATTGTTCCTATGTTGTACGTACGGTCTCTAGATTTACGTATCTGCTTTGGCTTTTGTCTGCTCTAATAATCTCCTCCCTTTTGATCTGTGGTCTGATATAATGTGATTTTCTTTTTTTTTTAAATTTCAGTAAGAGTAAAACGTTCTTTGGTTTCCTCGAGTATAGTGTGAACTTGAACAGCCATTGATTCTTTATAGAGTCCTGTTTGATTTAATTTAAATCCTTTATAAAATAAAAGAAACTGTTGTCTATCATGTTCTTAGGGCCAACATTAAATACTGTCTTAGTGTGGGTAGTACTTTCTATTTGTGATTTTAATGAGGTCTTCATTTGAAAACACATAAAATGTACTTATCTAAAAACTGGCTACAATGGCTATGATAGTCAACAGCTCATGGGGGAAAAAAAGTAACTTTTAATATGAAAGCTCAAGATGGGACCAAGTTATGGCATTAAGACAAATTTGTTAGACTGTTCCCTGAGTCTGTTAGTATGTTCCAAAATGGTAAATTCATACTTACAAAGATGGCTTTTTAAAATGAATGACTAAAGTATTCTCAGTGGCCAAGTTAACAGGTCAAACAACATAAATCAATTTTAGAAAAATTTCCATCAAAGGTGTAAGTAAAACTGAAAGTACATATCTCCCTCTCTACGTTTCCAAATAAACGTTTATTACTAATATCGGTAACTACCAATTAAAGGGGACTTACCACATCTGAGGCATGGTCTTCTACACTATATGTGTACCTGCCACACTCAGGAGAGCCTCAGGGTCACTGCGTCCGATCTCCCTCCCCGGTTGCATAGCTAGTGCGGCACAGAAGCAGGAAGCATCCCGGTTCATCGCCATCCTTTTGACTTTCCTGATTAGCCATTAGCCTGTACATTGGGAAAAGGTAATACAAGATTCACTTGAAACCCTAAAAAGCCTGTATCAGTGTTACAGTACAATCTTACAGGATGACCATTATATAGTCAGCTACTGACCAAGGATTACATAGTGCATGACTGTAAAGAGCCGATGTTACATTAGAATTCACATCATCTGTCTTATCTACGAGTCACAGTGCTATCATAATCACACAAACTGAGAGATGTTCATTTCGGTTGTAGAATTCAGCCAAATTTAATGGAGTATTATAGTCTTTATGATCGCCAAGTGCCATGAAAACTGACACTGAGCCTGTGCTTGCTTTTTAGCCTATACTCCAGTAGGATGCATTGAAGACCTCGGGAAAGACAGCACAAAACTGCACTTGACAAATTTTACTGCAACATACAAAAGACATCCCCCTCTCTCCCCAAATGGCAAAGCTTTGTGTCATGCATCTTCTCCTTCACCAGGAGATATAAAGATTTTATCAGAGAAAGCAATTCTCCAATCATGGACAGATAATGAAAGATCTATTCCTAATGATGGTACAGACTTTCAGGAACACAACTCTTACGGCAGAAATTCTCTGGAAGATAATTCTTGGGTATTCCCAAGCCCTCCTAAATCAAGTGAGACAGCATTTGGGGGAACTAAAAGTAAAACTTTGCCTTTACCCAACCTGCCACCATTGCATTACTTGGATCAACATAATCAGAACTGCCTTTATAAAAATTAATTCTGAAGAGATTCATGATTTAATCATGACAGCGCTCTCTCTCAGTGGTTCTTCTAAGAAATTACTTAACAAAGTGGATTTTGATTAACATCTTGCAGAGTTCTTCAGCATACTATATGATATTATGTAGTTGATTTTCTAATGTAAAAGAATAGCATCCTCCAGAAGCGGATTTTGATTAACATCTTGCAGAGTTCTTCAGCATATACCTTGGAACATACTACATGATATGTAGTTGATTTTCCAGTACAAAAGAAGAGCATCTTCCAGCTGCATATTCTAGGAATCATATATATGCTGCAATATTGATTTAAAAACTCAAGGTGTTTGAAAAAGACAGTTCTACCTTTGATAACAATTGTAAAATTTCACTTCAAAGTATAAAATTGGAGATTTTTAGACATGGTTTTGCAGCGTATGTGAAATGCCTCAATAGTCATTCATAAAAACTAAAAGTCATTAATATAGGAGAAAAACAATGCGTGTTACTTCAGATTATCTAAGGGAGCAACAGCAGTCTGAACAGGTTATGTTTCTGTTGGCCTTCTCATGCATAACGATGAAAAATAGAATGGAATAAAAGTGAGTGTTTAGGTTATTTATATGCGATTGTGTTTCAAAGTGTAAGATTTAAAATAACTTTTCAGTCACAGTGTTGCTTGTTGATAAAATTTCAAAATTGCAATTTGATTTTTAAGACTTGAAATACCTGGTTATTGAAACCACTTTGTACCAGAAAAGAATGATGAAATAGTTGAAAAACTATGTGGTGTGTGAATAAAATATTATACCTCTGTATACCATCCAATTAGAAGTAGAAAGAGCATCACACACATGTTTCAGCCTATCACTGTCCCTTCAGTGATCCATAATGAAAATCTACATGTATGTATGTAACTGTAGTCATATACTTCAAAGGTATGGAAATCTACATGTATGTATGTAACTGTAGTCATATACTTCAAAGGGACTATCACTGCCTGTATCGTAGACTTTATTCATTGTTACACTTGTTTTGACCTGTAACAATTCACTTACTGAGAAAATAATTTTTAATTAGATTAAGAATTTTAATTCTAGAAACCAAATTGTGTGCTGTACTGATACAGTATAATCATGAAATGTTCCCAAACTTCCATACTAAGTGGCCAGTAATTTGTAAACAAGAAAATAACAAAGAAATGGCTTCACATAGAAATTTATCTAAATTATTTCAGAGTGGCAGTATTAAGAATATTAGTAAAATATGATACTTAGTACATACACCTTTTGCAGGATAAGGTGTTTCATATAGGACTTTGTCCTTTTTGATAGACAGTGTCATGTATTTTGAACTCAAAAGCATATTTCAGATCTCTTCTACTATATTACTGAATAGCATACATACATAGACAATGTTCACCGTTCACCAGATATTTTTGTCTTTCTATTATCTTACTCACTTATTCAAGCTTGTCTGTGATTAATGGAATTGGTGTCAGCTGCTGGAATTTATTCTGACCAATGAACACAGCTGACTCAAGGGAGTACAATCTCATGCCAAGTAATAGAACAAAACCAATATGCATAAAACAGACACAAGGCTTCAGGCTGTAGCTGAAGGAAGCAACTACCTGTGTAATAACAAAGCAGCAGGAACTATTTCTCATATGGTTGCATAGGCTGTATATTGTATCTAATCTCTAATGTAGCTTACTGGTTTGTCTTTTTTAAAACTAAGATTGGACATTTTTCTTTGTAAAGAAATGTCTTATGAGATAATGGCTTGATTAATGTTTTGAACAATGCCAAAAAAATTGTTTAATTAAAATAAATTATTTTTGTTTGAAATAAAAGTGGATGTGAAACACTGTCCTTGCCTATATAGCCCAAGGTCTGATACTAACTGTTGGTTGTTCATTTGATTTATATGACAGATATTTGTCTTCCTAAACCAACTTTCTTTGAGTGAAAAGACATCTGTTCTATCAAACAGTAGTAATTAATGGGTAATTAATGTTCTTGAAAATTTAAAGTGCTAGATAAATGATGTATAAGACTCTTAAGGAAGGAGTCACCAAAAACAATTTTTACTAAGCCAGAAATTTTTAAACATATACTTGATGATCATGTGTGTTCCAGGTACTACTCAAAAAGAAACTGGAGGGGCCAGCAGGTGGCGTGGTGGTTCAGGAGCTGGACTCTTACGTGACCAATTGCAGTTCGAATCCCAGACCTGGTGGCTTGCTTTCTCACTTTTCCTTTCTCTTTCTCTGGTCAAATAAAAAATTATAATAGCAAAATTAAATAAATTATTATTTTTTTAAAAAAGAAAAAGGAAAAAACTGGAGTGGCCCATCCAAGCTTACTGAGGTAAAATTGTAAAGTTTTGGTTGACTTCTTTAAGGCTAGCTGAAACTTGCTCTAAAGAGCTTCTCTGGAAAATGTCTTTAATCTTGAGATTCTTTTTTTGTAAGATAACGCACCTCAGCACATCCATCACTCAACAGAATATAGACAACACCTATTCCTCCCATTGTTCCCTGTTAGCCAAAGTAAAATTTACATATTTTTAAAGGAATATTCTTTACTTAAGTTGCTCTCAAAATGGAAGTGAGTTCATAGGTAGGGCAGAGACATACACCTATGTGGTGAAACAGTAGAAAATGAAAATGGGAAATTTTGAACTTGAACTATAGAACTGAATCATCACAACAAAGTAATAATAGGCTATTTGGAGAAGATCTTAAGGACTTGGTTTTTTTGTTGTTTTTTTTTTTAAAAGGAAAACTTGGCAAGTTGTCACAAATATGGAATAATGTAACTCCAGCAAACAAAACTCCAGTGAAGCAAGACACTGAGGCAGATGTATCTGCCAGAGAAGACTTGTGTGTGGATAAGCAAGGATGTCCTGAAGGCTGTGATGAATGGTTTAGTTTTGGGCATCATAAAGGAATGAACGCTGTACTATTCAACATATGATTAATTTGTCAGGTACCTTTGGGGAAACTGACACACATACACATACGTAGATTTTCCACATGAAAGTTAAGTTGGCTATTACGATTTTAAACAAAATTGTAGTCACTGATTGTAAACTTCAGTAGTTCTTAAAGCAACTGCCTTATCTTGAGTCGTAAGTCATTAAAAACAAGAATTAAAGTCTTCTGCTCTAGGACATGCACCAAAAACAAAAGGCCAGTGAAGTATTGTTCCTATGTTGTACGTACGGTCTCTAGATTTACGTATCTGCTTTGGCTTTTGTCTGCTCTAATAATCTCCTCCCTTTTGATCTGTGGTCTGATATAATGTGATTTTCTTTTTTTTTTAAATTTCAGTAAGAGTAAAACGTTCTTTGGTTTCCTCGAGTATAGTGTGAACTTGAACAGCCATTGATTCTTTATAGAGTCCTGTTTGATTTAATTTAAATCCTTTATAAAATAAAAGAAACTGTTGTCTATCATGTTCTTAGGGCCAACATTAAATACTGTCTTAGTGTGGGTAGTACTTTCTATTTGTGATTTTAATGAGGTCTTCATTTGAAAACACATAAAATGTACTTATCTAAAAACTGGCTACAATGGCTATGATAGTCAACAGCTCATGGGGGAAAAAAAGTAACTTTTAATATGAAAGCTCAAGATGGGACCAAGTTATGGCATTAAGACAAATTTGTTAGACTGTTCCCTGAGTCTGTTAGTATGTTCCAAAATGGTAAATTCATACTTACAAAGATGGCTTTTTAAAATGAATGACTAAAGTATTCTCAGTGGCCAAGTTAACAGGTCAAACAACATAAATCAATTTTAGAAAAATTTCCATCAAAGGTGTAAGTAAAACTGAAAGTACATATCTCCCTCTCTACGTTTCCAAATAAACGTTTATTACTAATATCGGTAACTACCAATTAAAGGGGACTTACCACATCTGAGGCATGGTCTTCTACACTATATGTGTACCTGCCACACTCAGGAGAGCCTCAGGGTCACTGCGTCCGATCTCCCTCCCCGGTTGCATAGCTAGTGCGGCACAGAAGCAGGAAGCATCCCGGTTCATCGCCATCCTTTTGACTTTCCTGATTAGCCATTAGCCTGTACATTGGGAAAAGGTAATACAAGATTCACTTGAAACCCTAAAAAGCCTGTATCAGTGTTACAGTACTTTAGTTCGCGAAAAACTCATCAACATCCAGTTGACCAGGAAAACCATATCCCATTTATCTGTTTACTCCTACCCCATAGAATAAATCAGAACTTTGAAATAAAAACAATCTTTATTTCAGATAAAATGAATATTTCCATAATTAGGATAAAGCGAACACATTATAATCTGAGTCCATTACTGCAGGTGATTTATGTTATAGATGAAGCCCATGAATGTTCAGAGTTCCTGAGTGTCACTGGAGTTGTTGCCTACATGCTTGTGGGAAGCTTCTGTAGCCTTTTCTTGGTAGGAATTCCGCTTTTTCTGAATTCTTCCCTTTCCTTCAGATATTCCCTTTTGCATTCTTCATAAAAGGCTGGATCATTATAGCTGTAAGAAGGAAATGAAAATCTTTTCAAATGAGTAACTGCCAGTATGCAGCAACAGCTTACTTTAATCGGGCTCAATCTTTAGAAGTAGCAGATTTGTTTTACCATTCTTCACAAATTCACTGTAAACATTATGCTACCAAAGTGAAAAAAAAGTACCAAATGATTATTTGTATAGCATTATACGATAGAGCAAAAGGAAGAAAGGAAGCAGCTCCTATTCTCAGGGATGCCATGGAGTTATAAGGCAGAGACTGATTACAATTAATAGCATATAAAGTGATACGAGTGTATGACCTCGAGCGCTATGGAAACACACGGAAATGGAGGAGGGAACGTCAAGGGGAAGTGCATATAAAGAACGTGTGGAAAGGCACACAGAGGAGGAAAACCAGATTCCAGAACTGCAGCTAGACTACCATGATCCCATTAGAAACTTCAGGAAAACCAGTTGCAGTGAAGCTGGCACAAAAACCAGATCGCAGCGTATTGAAGAAGGAAGTTGAGGGACCAGCAGTTGGCATCATGGCTATGTCGCTGGACTCCCATGTAGTCGACTGCGGTTCAAGTCCCAGACCCAGTGGCTTAAACTTATGCCGGGCGTGGGTGCATGCGTGCCCAAGATCCTGAGGAGAATGGAGGAGAAGGGACTGCGGAGTGGCCATCCCCCCAGGGGGTGGTTTCTCGCTGTCTGTCGAGCTCATGTGCCCAGTAGCAAAAATCTCTCAAAAAAAAAAAAAGAATGAAGTTGAGAAAAATACAAAGCATTATGGAGAGGATTTGAGAGAAGGTAGTGGTTACATTCATTCCATGGAACGTCAATAAAGCAGAGCCTTTCTGTAACACTAAAATTCCTAGATTATAAAATTAGAGTATTTGAGGATTTAGGGTCAAGTAAAATTTTCTGTAATAAGATTCAGTTTCCTTCAGCACATAGCACATTCATCTTTGTCTTTCACTACTTTTTATTTAATTTTTATTATATTGTATTTTTAATTATTTTTACTATTTAAATTTGGAATATGGCACGTGTTCTCATCAGACTGAGAGAGAGGGAAAGTGAGAAAGCAAGCTGCCAGGTCCAGGAATTGAACAATGGTCAACCGTGTGGGAGTCCTGCACCTCAACCACCTCACCATCTTCTGGCCCCCTTCTCTCTTACAGAAGCAGCTTCCTCTCACCTTTCCCAAACCCTCCCCTAGAATAGACTAGAACCTGTTATTCTCTATTTCTATGGGATGGGAGATAGAATAGGCAAAATGACTAATATTCAGATACCAAATAATAACAAATCAAAAAAAGAGCTTACATTTAGAGTACCTACTGTGTGCCAGGCACCATGGCAAATCCCTTTACACACAATCCCTCCTAATCACTCCACAAGGTAATCATCCCTTCTCATGGGAACTTGCCCCGGGTCATATGGCTGGCTGACCTCTTGCTTATTCATAAGTTGAACCAGGCTGCCCTTGCAGAATATGCTCCTGGCCCCTCTGCTCTAGAGCTGCCCCATCTGGCAGAAGGGAAGATATGTCAGTCTAAGAATAACCATTTATGATGACTGAATCTGATGTGTGAAAATCCTTTAATCAACATATAAAACTGTTTAACAAATCCAGTCACACAAAACATTCAAAAGATTCATTTGCTTATTAAACATCCCTTGGAAACACTGGGAAGATGAATTTTCATTGCTCTATGGTGGAGCATTTAGTACAGTTTCTGGCCCACTGAATAAGGTTTGGTCTTGATAGTAACTTGAGAAAAAGCATATGAAAACTATGAGAGAGTTTCTCCCACATACACACATGCAGGGATGAGTTTAGATCACCTCTAAGGTCTCTTCCAATCCCAGCATTCTAAAAATGTTTATAAGTTTATGTGTACAAATTTGTTATTAAAATGGAATAAACATACAAAGGGTCTTCAAAACTTTATGGAAAATGCATATAATGAAAAAAAAAAACTATGCATGATCTTATAATTATAAATTTTCTTGTCATAGGGCACGTGCACGCACCAGAAAAAGATAGAGAAAAAGTGAGAAATCATCCCCCACTCCCAGGGTTTCACCCTCTGTTCTCTCAGGATTTGCGGCACGCACACACACTTGGTGTAACTTTCAAGTCACAAGGTCTGGGACTCAAACCATGGTCCCCCATGTGGAAGCCCAGCACCTCAACCATGAGGCCAAATGCTGGCCCCCATGCATGGATTTCAAATTATTTCCACCAAAAGAAATTCATGTTTATTCCATTTTTCGTGAGTTTTTTGAAGTCCCCTTATATAGAATCCAGATAATCATTACTCTCTTTTTTATTTAATCCCCAAATCACACCATACTGACAGATATGCTTCATAAGCTAAAGGAGCATAGTGTAAAAGGAGAAGTAAGGAAAGACTTAGCAAAATCGAGATCTCACTACTATTAACAATACCTACTGAAGCTCTGTAGTATATAATCTGTCCATAATGGGGGTAGCAAAACGCGGAGAGACAGAACAGAATGAACCTGCATTCAAATTACTTCACTTGTTTTAAAGACTTAAGAACTACAGCAAAATATCAAAGAATGTGATATTTAAGAATTTTTACATTACTTTGATTCATTCAAGAACTCAACATTGACCTTTGTTTCCTTCACAATGATTTACAGCAACTTTCCTCGGAGTTAAATGATACGAATCCAGCAGATTACGCGGCTGGTAAAGTCTTAGAAATTTTCTAATTCGATACCTTTCTGTCAGAAGAAATGAAAAAGTGTATACTATCTTCCACAGATCAACTGTTTATCAATGGAAACTTGTCAAATCATATGAAAAATCATATATCTTGGAACCAGCAGTTGGCGTAATGGCTATGTCGCTGGACTCCCACATGGTCGACCGTGGTTCACGTCCTGGACCCGGTGGCTTAAAACTCACGCCAGGCACATGTGCGTGCGTGCCCAAGATCTCAAGAGGAGAATGGAGGAGAAGGGATTGTGGCGTGGCCAACCCCCCCCGGGGGGGTGATTTCTCGCTTTCAGTCTCTCTGTATCTCTCTGTCTGTCTGGCAAGTGCACGCAACCTATAGCAAAAACCTCTCCAAAAAAAAAAAAAAAAAAATTACGTATCTTTTGTTTGCTGGCTTCATATTTTTCATCCAATACACTACTGACAAACATAAACATGTTGTTTTTAAGGATAATCTCCAAAATACTAAAACTTTAGAGTCAGTCAACAATACGACAAATTTGGCCAGGAAAGGTACAGAAGACGTGATAGGTACAGTGAAATAGCATACTCTTACCCACTGTACACACACACACACACACACATAAACACTGAGATAACTACTTACTAAGCAGTGAGACATTCCTTCAACGCAGAATTTTCTTTCCGGCATTTTACTACCATCAGGATTCCAGAGTCCTTGCAACATTTGGTAAAATCTGAAATAAAACATAATGCTTGACTGCTCTAAAAAATAGTCATTCATTTAATATCCATTACTGCAATGTGCTTGGCACACAGTCTACGCTCAACCAGAAGGCAGAGCAAGGGGATATCTGAGCTCAAGAAAAGGTGAGCTGGCTGGGACCAGCAGTTAGCGTAATGGCTATGTCACTGGACTCCCATGTAGTCGACTGCAGTTCAAATCGGGACCTGGTGGCTTAAACTCACACCAGGCGAGTGTGCGTGCGTGCCCAAGAACCCGAGAGGAGAATGGAGAAGGGATTGTGGTGTGGCCATCCCCCCAGGGGGTGATTTCTCACTTTCTCTCTCTGGCGAGCGCACGTGCCCTACAGCAAAAAAACTCTCCAAAAAAAAGAAAAAGAAAAAAAAAAAAAAAGGAAAGGTGAGCCTGCTCATGGAGATAGGGTGCAGAATATAGAGAATAAGGATTTCCAGTAGAGAAAAAGCACATTCTGAGGGAAATAAACAGGAAGAATCCAAGGTGTTGGGAGCCGGTCTGCGTGCAGTAGTTAAGTTCTGAGCTTAGGGAGCTGGATCCCACACGGCTGACTGCGGTTTAAGTCCCCGTCTGTGTAGCTTGAAAATATACCAGATGCATGGACCCCAAATCCTGAGAATGGAGAAATGGAGGAAAAAGGATTGTGGTGTCATCAAGACCCACTGATGTATTCTCTCTCTCATAAGCACACCCTCTGGCAATTTAAAAAGAAAGGACAAAGAATTGTTTCTCAATATCTCTTAAAACTCCTTTGATACCAAATTATCAAGATTCTCACCTTCTCATCTTTTCTTTTCTTTTTTTCTTTTTTTGGAGAGGTTTTTCGCTATAGGGCGCGGGTGCTCGCCAGACAGACAGAGAGAGAGACAGAGAGACAGAAAGCGAGAAATCACCCCCCAGAGGGGACGGTCACGCCGCAATCCCTTCTCCTCCATTCTCCTCTCGGGATCTTGGGCACACACGCACACGCGCCCGGCGTGAGTTTTAAGCCACCGGGTCCGGGACGCAAACTGCGGTCGACTACGTGGGAGTCCAGCGACATAGCCATTACGCTAACTGCTGGTTCCCAACCTTCTCATCTTTTCTTGAGCTATGTTTTGTCCATCCAGTTACTGATGACAATTACTTACAATTGTCTTAAAGCAAGTAATTTAATTCACTGTTTCTGTCTCTGGCTATGGTGGGAAAAAAAGAAAAAAAAACTTAATGAAAAGAGAAGGCGCACAGGATCAGCTTCCTTTGGTTTAATGTTGGACTAGTCTCAATGAGCCCAACATTTGCCTTTATTTCAATTACAAATGTTCTTGTTTATCTCAGTGCAGATTAGCTGTGTACACAGGCCAAATCATACCGAGGGAAATTCCTGTGTGCCCTTTGATTAAGGACTCCCTATAGCTCAAAAGGCAGGGCAGACGTCCGGCCAGTTCATTATCAGTGGAGACACTGCGGGGTGGTCATATGGCTATCAGAAAGTCCGTAACCTCTCGCTCTGGAATGCCTAACCTACTTCTACATGTAATTTTTCTATTTACAGCTCTATATTAAGATTTACCTTTATGAAAACAAAGATGATGATCCTAAATAAAAATAAGGCATGGGCAACCCTCGAAGAGAATATGTGCATAAAATTCATTCAAAAATTGACTCAATCTGGCTAAAGGCTTCGTTAAGGCCATGTTCAATAGTGGGGAGGAACTGCGGGCTGGATTCTCCTACACCATTTTACTCTGCTGTCACCGCACTACACCAACCCAGAGGACCATTAGCATCATTAATTTTGCTTAATGAGAATATGCTAGTTGGCCAAATTCCAGAAAATGTAAACATAATGGCTATTATCAAGTATACTTTCTGAATTTAACAAACCCAATGCTTTGGCTTGAGAAATTCGAAACAGGAGCTTTCCACAATAGGAATTTAAGGGTCCTTAGTAGAGAACTGATGCAAGATAGCATTGATGTGTTCTGATCACAATAAAGGCATAGTCTATATATTTTCACACTTGTCCAAATCTCTTCAGGAGTAACTGTCACTGGCCTAAAGCCTCAAGCTGTTTGTAAGGTTCCTGTCACTTGTTTAACAACAAGAGTTTAATGAGGATTTTTCTTTCATCCCACATTAGCAGACATTCATATAAGAGTGAGTTGCTAATACTGCCAACTGATCTCTAACATTGCACTTGGAAAGAAATCCAATTTAAATTGCTCCTGTGTTTCAATTTTATGTTAAATAGCAAAGAGCTTGCATGTTTGTTCTGATCAATAATTTAAATTACCATCAAAAATGAAAATAAAATTTCATTCACTTAAGTATACTTTGAGGTAATACACTTGAGTAAATATCAATAAATAGTGACAGGAATGTGGAGAAATTGTTAAAAGTTATTCCAGGGTCAGCCCATGGTATGGTAGCTAAGGCAGCTGGATCCCACATGGCCAACTGCATGGTTTGAGTCTCGAACCCACTGGCTTGAAAAAACATGCCAAGTGTGTGTGCATGCATGCGCATACCCCGGAGGGGTACTTTCTCACCTTCCCTCTATCTTTCTCTTTCTTTGTCCCATGAGTGCACATGCCCTATAGCATACACAAGTCATTCCAAAATGTAAAGAAAAGTGCACTCAAGACCTTTTTGCTTTAAAACATCAAGAAAACATCTTTCTTTTGTTCACGCTTCATTTCTCTTATAGGAAACAATTTTTTTTTTGAATAGTTGCTATACCTAAAATGTAAAATTTTATTATAATGATAGTTCGTACTGAGAAAGGTAAAGTCTTTTTCTCCCATGCGTCTGTGGGTAAATACAACAGCAGTCAGCTCGGTGCTCTGATTTCTCAGGTAAAGGAACTGAGGAACCCTTTACCTAAATAACTAAATGGAAATGACAGAGTTTGTTATAGCAATAGGGGCTCAATTGAGTTTTTCCAAGGTATATACCAAAGTTACATGGTGATCTATCATCGAGATTTTTTTTTTAAAGAAAGATTTAGACTACAGAGTGTGTATGCACATGCATTAGAGAGACAGAGAGCAAGAAATCATCCTCTGATGTCATGGCCATGCCACAACCCCTTCTCCATTTTTCTCTTGGGATCTTGGGCAGGCACGCACATACGCTTGGTGTGAGGTTTTCTTTTGTTTTTGTTTTTGTTTTGTTTTGTCTATTTCATGTTCTATTATACATTCGATCACGGTATGTAGGTTACAAAGCGAATATTCCAACATGTGGACCAGCAGTTGGCGTAATTATCGCTGGACTCCCATGTGGTTTGAATTACAGACCCGGTGGCTTTAAAACCTCTCCAAAAAAAAAAAAAATACTCTGGGCATGTGTGCATGTGTGTCCAAAATCTTGAGAGCAGACTGGAGGAGAAGGAAATGTGGCACAGCCTTCCCCCTGAGTGGTGATGGTGGTGGTGGTGGTGGGGGGGTCACTTTCCCTCTCTCTCGTGAGTGCACACACCCTATGGCAAAAATGTAGGGCATGGTGGCATCTGCCCTATGGCAAAAACCTATGGAGGCTGGAGGAATGCGGCATTGAGTCTGTCTCTGTCTCTCTCTATCTGTCTCTCTCTCTCTCACACTCACCACTTAATATCTTAATAAACTACTGCACCAGGACCAGCAGATGTCGTAATGGTTATGTGGCTGAACACCCATTAGTCAACCACGGATAGAGTCCCAGACCCAGCGGCTTAAACTCCCACTGGGCATGTGTGCGTGCGTGCCCAAGATCCTATAGGAAAAATCTCTCTTAAAAAAAAAAAAGTAAAAAACAACTATTGGTAAAAATATTCTTTGGGTATAGTAAAATTTAAACCAAGAGCATCTAGGAAAAAAACAGGAGGATTTGAGAAAATGTCCTAACTTTGGTCTAATTAAGACAATGGACAAAGCAATCATTTATACTGTAATTAAGTATAAGTAGTCTAAATAATTTCCAGTTTCCTATGAGATGACAGAACTCTTGGGGAAGGTCCATACAAAACAGAAATGAGAATGAAAGCATTCACTGAAAAAATGACAATTTAAAAACTTATGAAATTATGAGGCCAGCAGGTGGGATGGTTGTTAAGGGCACTAGACTCCCACATAGCTGACCACGGTTCGAGTCCTGGACCTGGTTGCTTGCTTTCTCACTTTCTCTTTCTCTCTCTGGTCAAATTAAAATAATGAATAAATAAAGTTAAATAATTCTTTTAAGAAAAAAATATGAAATGGAAATTATGTCATGTTTCTGAACAGACCACTCTGTGTTCTATGATTTTTTTATAATTATTTATTTATTCATTTATATTTAAATTTGACCAGAGAGAGAGAGAGAGAGAGAAAGTGAGAAGGCAAGTCTCCAGGTCTGGGACTCAAACCATGGTTGGCCATGTGGGAGCGTCCAGCACCTTAACCACGCCACCTGCTGGTCCCCTGGTCTATGATTTTTAAAAAATGATTTTTTTATAACCACATTTAAACACAGCAGTTACTTCTAATTTTCCATTACTTTTATTTAAGCAGTAATGTGTTTATAAACCCAATTTTATCCAACATTACAAAAAGCAAAGGTGTATTTGCATACCAATATAAATTAGAATTTTAACATGCCAGCTATAGACAATATTTCCATGAGTACACTAGCACATTAACAGGTTCCACCTTTAAATCTGAGGAGGGCCTGGGTGCCAACTTTTAGTTAAGACTTCCCTTCAGACAAAGGTATCTTCGGTTTTAAATCTGTCATGTAAATTCAAATCTAAAACTAAATTTTATTCTCAAGAAAAGCTATCTGGTACGTGAAGGCTTCTGTCGTGAACGGCCTAATGTCAGGTCCCTGTAGACAATGCCTAAGTGCTGTACCGCTCTCAGTAATCACCATCCCTTCTGGAAGCTGTGAAGTAAAAAGTGCCCGAAGACCACAGGGGGTCACCCTAGGTTCCGAGCACACCAGTTTCAGAAGCAGTGCTGAAGGCCTGAACCAGGGCAG